CCCCAAAACCCCAAAACCCCAAAACCCCAAAACCCCTCCTCGACCTCAATAAAATATCAAACATAAAATAATAATTACAAATGTCTAAGTTCTACGAGCAATATAAGGATTTGTTCGAAGGAGGGTCTGGTATTCCATTCCCTTCAAAAAATAGAAAATTTAGTCATAACTATACTTATGATCTGATGAAGCCAAGAAACTCAATTTCTCAAGACCCAGTCCCCCAGAAACAGAGAGGGAATTCTGTCTTTCCTAGTAATAATATATTACCAAGTCAGAGTATTCAGGAAAATAAGAAGTTTAAGCCCTTAAAGGCTATTAATTTCGATCCAAATCCGAGATCAAGAGACCCCTTAAAATGGAACTTCAACCGGGCCCTAGAAGATCGAAAGTCATACAATGACAACTTCAATAAAATAAATGCGCTCAGTCTTCCTTCAATGGATCTCAGCAAGCCAGAACAAAGGATGAGAAATTTCAGAGGAATGGCGGAGGTAGCCAAACCTGCATCCTCCTACACCCCATTTGCTACACACGGTAAGGAAAATGCCTTTCGATATCTAAAGATTGAATTTTAGAAATAGAAGAAAAGCCAAAATCCCAGTACTCGTCCTACAGCATCTCAGCACCTTACGGAATGGATGTCAAAGTCCAACAAAAGAAGCAAACTAGGGATGAAGAAGCCTACAAAATCCACACAAGAGCGAAACATGGTTTAAGGTCTCACAGTCAAAGTCCTATAACAGATCACCCTATCCGAGGCGCTGGGATGAGCTACAAAGAAATCCAAAAGCATCGAGACCACGAGATTACTTTGAAAAATGATGAGCGAAGATTCGATAGCAACAAGGCAAGGTCCCTATTTGACAAAAGTGAAATATAACCAACACACTTGCCTTTAGAGTTAAGAAATCCGACCTTGCAGAAGATGCAAAGTCTCATGCTGGCTCAATCAGAGCTCTGCATAACAGAATGCTTGCTAATAAGGTCAGAGGAGAGCAACACTTTAAATTTGGAGACAACGATAATCCTCCTCCCACCAAATCTCTTGACAAGAAGCTTCCTTATGGGGAGCCAAGCAAGAATTGACCTAATGTACCGATTGAAGAGTCCCTTAATCGTAGAAAGGAAGCCAAGAAATATTTAAAAGAAAGACAGTTAAAATTGAAGGCTTTACTCAACAAGGATAGTCAATAAATTCATAATTTTCAATTTTAAACTTAAAATTTGGGGTTTTGGGGTTTTGGGGTTTTGGGGTTTTGGGG